AGTCTTGTGTAAGAATAGCCAAGGACAGGTCTCAGACCGTATCCTGTCAAAACATCCGAGCTAAGTCCAAACATTGATTTTGCCGTTCGATAACAATAATATTAATATCCACACTAATGTATTCCAATTACGATAATTTATTCCTATCGTTATTGTGATCAGTTTGATATTAATTCAGCTTGTTTGTTCCTAACGGCATGAAAGTATCTAGAATCGTTGCATGATATATCGCGCAAATCAGGCATTGAATTGTCTAACTGCAAGAAAGCGATAGCAACAATGGAACTGGACCTAAAGAGTGTAGAGCGCAAGCTTTTGTAAACTTCAAGTCTAATAATTAGTCTCGGTCAATTGTTATTAAACACACTAACGATCCATCCATGCTGAGATCATCAAGTAAGCAGCAGACGACTTCAGCATAATGGCCTTAGTGCTGTTATTAAGTCACAATCCAGTTTCCACATAACAGACGAAAAAAGAAAAAGAACAATGCGCCAAGAAAAAGCCGTTATGCATGCAATCCCGTACCTGTACAAGACCCAAAGCAGAAAAGAAGTATAGCCAGATAGACAGAAAGTGAAGCTCTTACTCTTGCCTTGGTGTTTTGCTGTTCGACGCCGTTTTCACATAGTTTTTCTGTAAGCGGTTCGGAGTAATTCGACAGCTCTCTCACAATAGATCACAACCTCTGTTAGCGAATAATATGGTATCAAATTCTAGGCATTCCGCCCTTCGTGCAAATCGTCTTCACAGCGATGTGGGCCATTGGTAAACTATTTTATGGGTAAGATGATTTCTGTGAAATCACAATATCTGCTGAAAACTCAATAACAATTCGGTCCAGCAGACGCCTTTTGTCACGAACTCATTAAATGATCAAGATGGGCGCTGAGGAAAAACATGTGATTCGTGCAATCTTCTGATCAGTAGAAGATCCACTACATGACTGTATGCTCTGACAACCGCAGAAAATTAGACAGCTGAAAAGGTGCATTAAGATATACCGGTGTCTGCAAAACAAGACATGACAAAATAGCTCGTCTTAGAAAAACGACCCCAATCATCAAATGACTATGAATATAGATCAACTAAACATGTTGGCCTGTCGGAAAACAAGTTTGTGGAAGGTGAACAATCCAAGCAAACTGTATCAGCGCGGAATTAATCACTAATGGAGTGCAGTAATACGTGAACGATTAGCTCTGTTTAGGTGAAAGAGTAGTGGTGTGCCGTAGCAATCAACCATTCGTTGCCAAAAGTGCTGGAAGACAGTTCCAATGCAAAGAAAATACATTAAAAAGGTCAATGAGCCAAGAGAGGTGCAAATATAGCATAGAAACGAAAAATGAAGGCTCCAATAGAAAGCCAGGAGCTTAATGGGCGGGATAAAAAAACTGGCGAGCTCAACGTAGGGTGAATTCCGACAATGTCAACGAAAGCGAGATTTGGAGTATGGAATAAAATGGGCAATGGGCCGGTGTCCAAGCAGTGCGTGCATAAGAGGTAATGTCCTAAAATTGCCGGCGCGGTTTCATGGCGCCGAAAAAAGGACCATGAGCAAATCCTTGGTCCAGGGATATCTATGTCGACAGAATTCGCTGGACCGGGCAAGTAAGATGGAAAACTAGGTAATTTACATGTCGTCAAGACAAAAGAACGAAGAGCTTTTCTAAATGGCCGTGGACACCGGAAAATACAAAGCACACGCGTTCAACGGGGAAAACGACCAGAGACCCTACATACAACATAAGTACTAAGACTACACAGACTCGCAGCATAACACTGAAATTATCTACTGTCCCAAACGAATATGGCATAACCACGTTATGTGTGATCAGTAATCCGGACACATGGCTCTACAAAACTTATCAACAAAAACAGTCTTACGCCCACTTAACGCTATGTATATTTGCTGATACAAAGAAACGGCTTTAGGGGCGCATTAAACACATTGGACGCCTCAGCGCGCAACCTAACGACACTCAAAAGAAAACGCAATCTGTGACATGGGGGCAAGGCGGAAAAGGTTTGTGGATAAACGTTTAAAAGACGCGACTGCTCAGAGTTGCAAAAAGGGGTAGGGGGTACGCCGAGGCCGCGAGCCGACAACCGTATTACAAAATTAATATCTAGTACCAGTCCTATCGAGAACAGCACAACCTCAATGAATTGTTAACCAAAAATGAGGAGCCAAATAGTGCCGTCCAGCTGGAAATCCGTGATGGGTAATGGAAGGAGTGAAAACGGATTCGGCCGAAGACCGGCCCACCTGATGCAATCCGACTAATGCACCCTCATCAGTAAAGAGACAAAGCAGCAAAAGACATCCGCTGACGAAGTAGGATAGCCCTGTGTTTGCCCGCGACTACAGAAACGAACCTGGTCCTTGGTAGGAAAGCGAGAGGTGGGCCAGAAAGGGTATGTCGAGGATTATGTACAAGTAGAAGTAGGAGGTGATAAATGGTCACGTCAATCGGCAATGAGATAACCAGGTTGTGGGAATACGGCATAGCCCACAGAAGATCAGCCCATCAATAAGCAGAAAAGACCATTCCCCTTGACATCTTGCTTGATACAGTGCAACCTAATCCGAGGATAGCCGCACGCCACGAGAAAGAAAACTCAGAAGCAAGCAAGCTGGTCTTCGTTGCCCAAAAGAAGGTAGCAACCTCAAAAGAACAGACGGCGAACAAGGAGTCATGATGGCAAGGTCAACAACAGAGAAAAACGCTTATTAAAAAAAGGGAGGCGTGTTGGGGATGTTAGATCCCCAAAATTCGCTTGATAATGCCGTATTTCGGTTTTCACGTTCGCCAGCAGGGGCTGATCAAAATGACCTTGAGATTTCAATTCCCACCAGGAAAAATCAATGGCTGTGATTGGCTACAGTGTATTTTAGTATGCTATTTTCTTAACTGTCTCAAGGACGTTGTTATGTTGTATAAATAAACGAGAGTTGTATGCTTGATTGTACTGTGATTGCTGGGTGTTTGTAGAATATACTTTCTACGCTTACCAAGACTTCTGTTTTACCGTTTGGATTCAAGGTAGCCTCCCTGGAAGCTGGTAAAAGTATCGTTCGCGTTTATCGACCAAGGTAAACTCGTAATAGCATCAAGCATCTTAAGTGCCGAACTTATCACTATTGTCATGTTTTTATGTTTGTTCGATATGTGTACGCTTATTGCTCTATTTTTTAAGTAACGGTACTATAAGTGTTCGCTTTTAACCTTGAGTGTTGTGGTTTGTCACTGACATCATGTACTGATCAATGTCTGATCACCATCAAAAACCCAGAAGCACTGTACGAACATTTCGTCCTAGTATGACAATCATTGGCAGTGCGCATGCCACGACTTCGTGAATGGAAATCTAACTCAGGACCTTCGATCTCTTGCGTGAACGCTTAGCCTCTTGATCAGTGTCTATCTCAGTCAGTTACTACGTAGAACTTCCTACGTTCAGGTTGCCATACCGCATTAGCACAAAAACACAACTTTCAGTTCAAATCCAATAGCGGTAAAAATAGTAGAAGTGTTAGCAGTAATGGAGAAGATCAGGGTTTGAAGATACTATTCAAGAAGTATAATTCAGTGAGATAACTTAAGAAAAAGAGAAAGATAGGGGTGATGAGAAATTCAGAAGATTCGAATTTGAGAAAACAAAAAGAGTGGATGCACCGGCGCATTGCTTACTCGGTTGTCCCAGGATAAACGAACAATGCTTCAGAGACACCTATGAACGAAAACCAATGACCTACGCATATCTTCTACTCTCACCGGCCATGTTTTGCATCCATATAAGAGGACGGAACGAACTGCTGCTCAGTAGTGTCTATCTAGAATCAATCCATGAAACTGCCTAACTGTCATCCATTGTCTTCAGTGTTTATTTGTTTAAGCGTATATATTCATCGCGTGTCCTTAGCTTACTTTTATCTGGCTATAAATAGTTAGTCACTCCTTGTCAAGTGAAGTTGGTACAGTCTCAAATTCCACTTCAATTTCCCACTTCTGATCCTAATGTCTATCCCCGCATAAACAAGGGAATGAAATAAATTCATTCCACTTGATCCTCACTTGACTTGTCAATATCACCATCGCCCAAACAGGGTATTGGTTGACGAGTTGTGAACAATTGAATAGGTCTTGGTACTCCAAAGGAGGTCAGCCTTTGCTCAAATGACTCATTATAAACAGATGATGACAGTTTAAATTCAGCATAGAGCATCAGTTACCTCATAATTACAGGTACGTTTAAATGATGAATGTCAACTAACCATGAAACCAATGTCAACCAGGATTTCCTCACTATGATATCAGTAAATTCTTGACATGAATACTGGAACGATCATAAATTCTCATACTGCTGAGAAGTTTCACATGAGCAAAAAAACATCTATCATTCATCATGTTCAATTATCAGTATCATCTTCAAGTACTTTATACAATTTAAAAATAATACACACAACGAGAAAAAATATAAAATCCACTTACACATTTGAAATCATCAGTCAGTCATTGTTAGACCACCACCATTAGAAACCTGGAAGCACTGGACAGCCGTTTCGTACTGGTATGGAACTCATCAGCAGTGCACATCCACGACTCCTGCACTTCACAGGATTCGAACTCGGGACCGATGTAGTTCAACCCTGTCGGATGTAGGCAGTAACTACCAAAGACAATTAGTTGAGGTCGCGCAAAATCTCTAGACCAATCAGGGTTAGACATTAACACAGTTGGATGCCGGCCCAGTGGTCCAATGGTTAGGCGTTCGCGCACAATGCCGAAGGTCCCGGGTTCGAATCCTGCGAGGAGCATGATTCGTGGATGTGCACTGACACTGATGAGTCTCATACCAGGACGTAACGGCCGTCTTTTAGGGCTTCCAGGTTTCTAATGATAATCTAACAACAATTGATTGATGATTTCACAAATGTTTGTAGAAAAAAAACACAAATCTGCAAAGCTTTTACTGAAGTAATATCCACTACTTACTCGTATTGTTTCCCAATGATTATGATGTAATTTTTTCTTTTTAGAACAATTTAAAAAGAAATTTTTCATTGAATTTAACATATACATAAATGTTTTTGGTGTAGGTATAATATTAAATGGTACGGGTACAGTACAACCTTCACCAAAATAACTAATCCATAATTTGGATCGAGCAAATTTCCATTCAATATCAACTTGACCCTAATTTTTTTAAGCAAAAAAGAAGAAGAAGAAGAAATGATATTGATTTTTGAACAAATAAATTATGCAGATTGACCAATTCAATAATCAATAGGAGTGAATTGAGTTCAACTCAATGGTTCAAAATTGTATATGATAAATATATGTATATTTCTTATGTCAAAGTAAGATGCTGCTGAGACATGTAAAGGTGTTTACATCCTCTAAAGCTTCTCCATGCATCAACAAAATCATACTTGATAGAGAAGCTCTGGAAGATGCGGAAACGTTTACATACCTCAGCTGTATCATTGATTAACAAGGTGAATCTGATGTGAAGGCACGCATTGGCAGAGCAAGGGCAGTATTTCTTCAATTGAAGATCATCTGGTATTCGGAACAACTGTCAACATATAACAGAGATCAAGTTTTAAATAAAAACACCAAGACAGTTCTACTGTATGGGGTGGAAACTTGGGAAACCACGAAGGCAATCACCCGGAAAATACAGGTGTTTATTAACAGTTGTGAGCGCAAGATACTGAGTAATTGTCGACCAGAAACTATCAGCAACAACACACAGTAGGAGAGAATAAACCGAATTCCAGTGGAGGAATAAATCAAGAAGAAGCGATGGAAATGGATAGGATACACATTGCGGAAAGCATCCAACTGTGTCACGAGACAAGTCCTCTCTTGGAAACGCCAAGGTCAAAGGAAAATTTGAAGGCCAAGGGACACATAACACCGAGAAACAGAGAAAGACATGAGAAGAATGAACAAAAATTGAACAGAACTAGAAAAGGAGGCCCAATATAGAGTCGATTGAAGAAAACTGGTCGGCGGCCTCATTAAGGAAGTAAGTAGTGTTTCTACCCCACCATTTTTGACTCGAAATATGATGTCTTTTATGTTTTCTTGCAGATGTGCATTACTGATGCGTCCTATACTAGGACAAAATGGCTATCTAATACTTCCATTTTTCTAATGATGGTCTAGTAATGATCGATTGATAATTTCAAAAATCTTTTATATATTAAAATGCAAATCGATACATAGCCTATGCTGGCTTCGATAAACAATTTTTCTGTTTAGGCCTTAAAGACTCATTTCTCAAATGTTCTTATTAATTTTCTTTCAAGTCGTTTACATTAAACATGAACTGAAATATTATGCCTTGTGAGAAATCGGTTTATTATTATTATATATGATACCTCCGTGTTAGGGAGTGAAGTAGTTGAGTGTGTTGAACGCTTCACTTATCTAGGGAATCTCATTAATGCTGATGGCTTGGTGACTGACGAAATCTCAGCACGGATACAGAAAGCTCGATTGGCTTTTGCCAATTTAAGTCACCTATGGCGTGGGCGAGCTATCCATTTGCTGACTAAAGGATGAGTGTACTGTGCAGTAGTTCGCTCCGTCTTACTCTATGGCTGTGAAACATGGCCAGTTAGAGTAGAAGATATTCGTAGGTTAGTGGTTTTATATCATAGATGTCTCCGAAGCATTGCTTGTGTATCCTGATGCACCCGAGTAGGCAATGATGTCGTTAGGAAACGGCTGCTAGGTAAGAATGGCAGATCAATAGATGAAGTGGTGAAACTTCATCAGCTGAGGTGTTTGGGACATGTGTTACGTATGCCTAATCAACGACTGCCTCGTCAGGCTATATTTTGGGATGTAGGAATGGGTTGGAAGAAAACTAAGGGCAGCCAAACAGAAGCATGGCAGAAATCCATGAAGTCACTGACAAGTGGACTGAGCCATGTTTGCGATGGCGCAGGTGCATCCAGTCGCTGTGTTCTCTCAAATCCTAACCTTCTGTATTCTTCATCATTTTTATCTTTTTGTTTTGAAGTTTATTTCACTAGACTCTTGAATAATATCCTCGGACCCTGATCTCTTCGATTACTGTTAATACTTTTACTACCTCTAATTCTATGGGATTTGAATTGAAAATTGCATCTCTGTGCTAATATGGTATGGCAAACTGATCTTATGTACGTACGTACGAAGTTCTACGTTGTGACTGACATGATACTACCTATTGACTTCAAATTATGCACAGAGTCTTCCATTAGCTAATTAACTCACCATTCAGCTGCTAATGTGATTGTAACTAGTCTGGAAAGAAAGAAATATTTGATCACTATACTACGACACTCAAAATATACAAGTTTAGAACTTCTTTTGAAGAAAAACGAAACAAATGTGTTACACAGTATTAACAGTTACATATATATATGTATAAATACAACTTACAACAATTTGTTCATATGAATTATTCATCATCGCAATTAACATATTCAGCAAAACAATGAAAGCAATATAAGAATAAGTGCCAAATGTCAGTTTACCTGAATAATAAAATTTTAAAACAAACAAATGATAGTTCTCACTAAAATTTAATAAAACTAGTTATACTACTTTAAGTAGGCAAATTTTTAAAATAAAATTTATCAATAAGTAATGTTAAAGGGTTATGATAAATGAATCTCTTCGAAAATATTTGCGGCAATCAATTGTCCAAGATAGTTCATTCTGTAAACCTACATATTTTCAATGGCATAGTACAAATATGAAATCAAAATAACTGGTTTCTTTTAACAATCATTTATCAACAACATTATGTAATCATTCAGTGTAAATTAGTATTATTTTTATGAAATTCTTAGTGATGATTGATTTCTGCATAAAAAATTGCAATTTAGACAATAGATTCAATGAATTTATATGAATCAGGATCGATGCCAAATGAATAGAATCAACCGGCTTTGAAAGTATATTTATCACCATTTAGTGTTTGGTAATAATTTGCAGTAGTCTGTGATTTATCTTTAACTGTCAGTCAGTCAGTGAGTCATCTACAACGTAGAACTTCGTACATACGTACATCATTTCAAGTTGTCATATCACATTAGCATACAGAGATGAGATTGTCAATTCAAATCCAATAGTAGTAGAGGTAGTAGAAGTATTAGTGGTAATCGAAAAAGATTAGTGATCGAAGATTATCGTTAACTACGTCACTTGTCAACATGTATTTGAATATCATGTTCGGTATCACTTCTCTTAACGTTGCAGATAAAGCTTGTAAAAATGTACTAACTAGTAAAAAGTTAGGTTCTAGATTTCGCCATATTTGGTTGAGTAATCACTGAGTAGTGACCAATGTCATAATTGCCTTGCCCTTTTAGTACTAACTGAATTCTAGTGTGAATTCACCCTATACATCATGTTGAGATGTCAGGTTCAGGTAGTAAACTGAGTTATCATGCTAGTTGGTACCAGTTAGCAAGGTGTGCTTGTAATCTTGAGAGAAATGAAGACTACTGCTAGATTCGATTATGTGTAGATCAATTTCGCTGTCGTAGATGTAATCACTGAGATTTCTGATCAGCAAACATTGATAGGATTGAGCAAAAAGATCAGACTGCATTCATTTTGCACCGAGACAATTATTGACTGAAAGAAATATTATTACAGTCTATACTGTTTCCAATGACTATGAAATAATTATGCTTATCAGAACATTAACAACACAACAGAGTTCAGTGAAAATGTTGAAGTATTGTCTCCTTGACCATTGAATAATATTCTGTGACAAAACAAGACATCAGTCAGAATGTGATTTCGCTCCCGTAACCTTTAATCTGCAACTAAAAGTTCCGAATGGTTCACGACGCGCCTTCAACATGACCTGTGAAGTCCAAT